CCCCCCCCCAGTTCATCCCCCCTTCCAGCGGTAAAAAAGAGAGGATGACAGGAATAAACTAACAAGAGACCAAAAAAATTGTGCCCCAAAGCTACACAAATCTTTGTAAGTGCACACGTATGCACACTAAGGGGCACACTCAGACACAAACACACCCTCGTATACACACACACGCTCACGTATGCAGAAAGGTACACTGCACTGTAAATATGTGAAATGCAAGACCTCAAGGAACCAAAGAAAAACTTATATAAATATGGAAGCTGCTAATAATGCTTGCACAAAAATATTCTGTATAGGACACAGGAAATTGCATGCGTATGGATATACCCAGATAATCTTGGATATTGTTCTCATCTTTCCTTTATTTTTCTCACTTGTATTCTCTCTTTCCTCTCTGTTGTTTGTCACTTTAGCCCCTTCTCTCAGGCAATCCTCTGAAGAAAGTGACAGAGAGAGAGAGGGACAGGGAGAAAGAGAGAGAGAGGGAGCGTAGCATTTTGTCAACCGGAAATAAAACAAGTTGGCACCCTCCTACCCCTGCCTTATTCTCACGTTTCCTTGTCCCCCATCTCCCTTTATCTGCACAGAGATATTTTTATACCGTTGTCCCTCTTATTGCTGTGTTTTGCTATTCATGTCTTCTTACCAACCTCATTTTCCCTGCATCTGATTATTTGGGAATAGATAATCGGCGTTATCACGCTGCCCTTGCTCTGACAGAAGGGTCAAAATAATTATGTGTTGTGTACAGTATACATGTATGTCACATCGCCATAACGTTCCGCACAGTACGCAGCAATGCGCATAAAGTATTAATGGTGGAGCTCAGATATGCAGTATACTATGTGGTCATTGACTGTAAATATTACCATGATTATACAATTATACACCCCTGATTAAACCCAAGTTTCACCTTTCTAGCTTGGTTTTGGTTCTCATTCTTACAGCATTACCTACATGTATAGCCACCTAAATCAATGAAAAATGTCCCCACATCTGACCAAAACTGAAAATGCTGGTTCAAACAGATGCTTCTGTCGTTTAAGTGACTCTCTGGCTCTCCCCATTCGCTAAAGTTCAATTTTCTCAGAAATGTGCAATACAAATAAGGTGAGTAAAAATGCAACCCATAGGCATTAATTTATGCGTGTACTGCATACAGCAATTCTGGGTAATTCTCATTAGTTATGTGCTCTTTTTAAAATGGTCTCCGAGCAAAGAGAAGCTGAGGAAGTAGAAGGACAGTGAGATTATGGAGGGTACACTTTCAGTGGAAAGTGTGGCAAGTTAAGAAAATGTGGACCAAAGCTTGGCACTTCTTCTTTGCCTTGCAAATTTACTAAAAACTAGTCAGCATAGGAGTGATCTGTAGCTCTGCTGTATTTTGTCCATTTACAAATCTACTCTCCCTCTCTTTTAATGAAATGATCTTTTGTCACTTTTCAAGATGAATTTGCCACATTTCTCTTCCACTAACGAACATCTAATCTACGTGTAACTGCTCCCTGGCTTGGTTCACCTCCCCCTTTCTTTGGCATTAAGTTCAAACTTGACACTGACATTGACTCGCTGTGTCACTCCTCTCTTCCACTTTATCTCTCCTTTGCCCTCTCTGTCTCTCCCTCTCTTTTCTCCTCTCTCTCTCTCTCTCTCTCTCTCTCTCTCACTCTCTCTCTCTTTCCATCGCTCCGAGGACAGGAATGCCCGCAGACGTGTTTCTTTCTCTCTCCCTCCCTCCCTTTCTCCCTCTCTTTCGCCCTGTCTAACTCTCTCCATCTCTCCTCTCTCCCTGCATCTCTTCTCTCTTTGCACACGTATAGTCCATTGGCAACAAAGCAAGGGGAGAGACGGACAGGCATAGGCGGAACAGGAATAGAGCACTAAGAGAGAGCAAAAAGAACTGGGTTGTGCTTGTCTTGCATTTATTCAAATCCATCAGTTGGTGAGTTGCTGTTTAATGTTAATTTTGCATATTAGAAGCAGTCAAGAATTAGGACAGTTGGAGAAAAGATGAAACTGAGACAAGGAATGTGTGAGGCAAGAAGGGACTTTAAGAGTTATCAGTAAAGACGGTGGCATGGTGAAGAATTGCACTGAACAAGTAGTGGATGGTACAGAGATGTTAGAATGTTAGAGGTACCAAAAACAAGCATAAACAGGACAGAACTTGACCTTTGGCAGAAGTGCTAGAATTTGCATGTTTGTGTGTGATACTGTTTAATTCTGATATTTACTTTTTGAAATGATGTTTTTATATATAGTTTTGGTTTTGTGCAAAGCAGTATTTAGTAACATAAGTAAGTAATTCTGAATGAATGCATCTGAACTTTCTGTGTTTGTAGCAGCCTGATTGCCAGTTTGACCCTAATCACTGCCAATAATGTCCAGTTAGTTATATTGACAGTGCATTGAAGGACACACACTGCTGTATGTGTTCATTATGAATGTGGTGAAATTCCCAAATAGCTGGCAAGCGTGCCGAAACCGGCTGTCACTTATCGAGTCCAGTGCCAGCTTACTCTAGTAGAAAATGCCATTACCACAATAGTAAGCCGCATTTTATTTTTCTCATTCTCCACAGGTCTGTTGGTCTCCACTTGGGGCGGGGAGAACAGGGGTTAGGGGTCAAAGGTAACAGGTCAAGGCAAGGTGCTGATTTTTTTTCTTTCAGGCTGGGGGTTAAATATAATGTATGAAAAATTAACCATGTTAAATCTACAAAGTGGGTCAACCTGGACTGGACCGAACAACTGGTACCACGAATCGAATGCGGTGCCTTCGCAGCATAACACAGGTGAGCTTCCTCAGCAGAAAACAAAAGTAGCGAGTCTATGTGGAGACACAGGCGTGCTTGTGTGCATGTTATAGTTTACGTTGCCCGCTTGGACGTAGATCACTGCATTGGTGACTGGCGTGAGAAGCACCTGGTTCCACTTGGCTGAGCTGGATAGTTCTGTCAGTAGTTCTGTCAACACCGACATGGATATCTGTGCAAATATGAGCAAGAGTTTTATCAGCCCCGACTCAGAGCTCTTAAGCTTTTCTTATTCTGGCCAAAATTGCAGAATGCTAAAGAAAAGTCAGGTCTCTGTGCTCCATAAAAATTACTGTTCAATCTGTGATTTTGGTTGTTTTTTGTTTTTAATAAGTACTCATACTGTAACTATTTCACTGCATATTAAATCGTCTAATTTTTTGCTGTAAGTTTCTGCCTCTTGGTGAAAGTCTGCTTGATTGACCTGTCCAGTTCAAAGGCGGTCATCTTCTTTGTCTTTCCTCATTTTGCAGCCGTGCCAGAAGGTTGTGACGTGGAAGTGGATGGAGGAATGGGGGTAGGTGGAGGAGTGCGGGGAGAAAGGGACGACAGAGAGGAGTCTCAACTTCGACTGCAGCTCAAGAGGAAGTTACAGAGAAATAGGACCAGTTTTACTCAGGAACAGATAGAAGCTCTGGAGAAAGGTCCGTTATATATTTTTTATTTATTGAGTTTTTTTTAGGCAATGTCATATTTTCCAAAGTAGCTGTTCAATGCCTGCTCTGCTGACTTGTCACAGGAGCTCCCTGTGGTATCATTTGGAGCTCTACAAAATTATTGCTGTCTAATGTTATGCTATATTGTTATGCTGCTTTTTAAATGGCATCCGCCCCTTCACCATCCTAAAGATTAATGTCAAAATGACCAACTTCTTCTGCTCTATCAGATCTGCCCAGTGGTTGAATTGGGTTTTGCTTAGATAGTCCTGGGAGACTAACTTGACTTGGGATTAGATCTTTCTTTGTGCATTGACAACAACTTCATGCATCATGTAAGCTGGTCTGGTCACCACCAAATGCTTCTTGCCCTCAGAATTCGAGCGGACGCATTACCCTGACGTTTTTGCACGTGAAAGATTGGCGGCCAAGATCGATCTTCCAGAAGCACGGATCCAGGTACAGGATTACCTTCTTGATAAGCTTTTCGTCCGATAACCGTATTGAAAACGCCATGGCTATTTATCCATCAAGCATACCTGTTAGGGTAGTTACACAGTCCATTCGGGGATATGGGACATTTTGGGTTCATTTTCTTTCTTTCCCCACTACCAAGATACTTTTCTAGCTGCATAACTTGTTTTATAACCTAATTGTGACATGGGGTGTAGCACAATACTTTCCCAATTTAATATGCAAATCCTGAGCCATATGACCATCAGCTGACCATTACAGCTGCCCCTCTTGCTTATTGGTGGACAGGTGTGGTTCTCCAACCGACGGGCTAAGTGGAGGCGGGAGGAGAAGCTACGCAACCAGAGGCGGGCGGGTAGCGGCACGTCCTGCTCCCGACCCCACGGCACGCTTGGCGCGTCCTTCGGCTCAGCAGTCTACCACCACCAGCACAGTGCTAACTCAGGTCCGCATTGTCCCGGCTCCTGCCCTGAGCTGCCCTCTCACGGCCCAGCTCAGGCGCCTTATGAGGCCCTTGTGTCATCAGGATATCAAAATAATTATTCTCTATTTTGTAAGACGTGAAAGCTAATGGTACCTCTTATGCTGTAATACAGACTACTTAGATTTCCTCTCAGCTAATTGCCATGGCCCCATACAACAAAATTGAGTATGAATTGTTGATGATGATCAGTTTATGTATGATGCACATTTTTATGCATTATAAATAGTGCCATGTGCTCTGAATGCTACAGAATTTGTATATTAATTAGCCACATGTCTTTAATGTTATGTCAAATTATTAACTAAAATAATGGCTGCTTTACAATGTGCACCATGCCCTAGCTGTGGTGAACAAGATGCTCCAAAAAACTGTTTAAATATTTAAATTTGCTATATTTAAATTTGAGACGGCATTTCCAGGCATGCTGTCAGATTATTGTACTGCACTGTTTACCCTATGGGTCTTGCTGTCTTCAAGTGAATTGTGCAAATTGCATTAATTTCATATCGCACTGCCAGTGTGTATGAGCTGTAGCGTACCCTGCATGTAATGTCGGTGCCCTTCATTTATGAATTTTGGCAGCATTAGTTATAAATATGCCACTATCTTCACTGCGACTGTGCACTGAATTTGCACTTTGCGTTCCTGTCCGTTCCTCAGGCTCCATGGTGAACCGTAACGACTCGTCCCTCTCAAACTACAGCGCACTCTCAGTCTTCTCCGGGGTCCAGGTGATTTCTGCTTTTATTGCCTTTCTGTCCTGCAAGTCTTTCCGACATGTTGTGATTCAACTGGAAATTGCAAAGACCTTGCAGCCATGTGATTCCAATGTGATTTTAGGAGCTGATTACATCTCTAGTATTGGATAGGAATAAAATTAAAATCTCAATAATAATAATAATTATTATAATTATTTTTATTATTATAAACATTTTTATGCCGTTGCTCGAAGCATTTTCAATAAAAATAATAAAAATTGAAATATAAATTATACAATTCATGTATAAAAATATAAAATGAAATTTTAATACAATTAAACAATAAAACACATCAAAACGAAATAAATAGAGAAATTAAACAAGGAATATAAAAAGGCTAACTGATTTTTTTAAAGGGATTTAAAAGAGGAAGCTGATTTAGTCTCTGAATTTGAGTGCAGAGCATCTTCACCATTGTGGCACCCAGGTACATTAACTACAGAGACGCATTTCCTACTCGTATTTAGTATTTTAGATCCTAAGAGTTGCTTTGTTGGTAGATATAACAGCAAGTCTTATTGATCACATTGTGAATTGAGCTGGTTATTATGGCTGACCATTGAATGAGCACAGCTGAAAAACCTGTCAGAAAGGTGGAAATTTCCACTGTCATCAGTGACAAGCATGGTTCCATGATCGACCCATGGCCTTATAGATATGCGGAATAACATGTTTGACGGAGAGATCACAACCTGCAACTGAGGTGTCTGTTTGTGCACATTGACCAGAGTGGAAGAATTAATATAGAGTTAGAAATGAGCACTCTGGATTAAATCTGATAAAAGATTTATAATATAAGACAAATAAAACAGAAAACAGTTAACAGGAGTTCCAGGTGTGTTTGCCAAGGTGAGTGAGCTAATTTACAAAGTGAGCAACATCATTGACACTCAAACTAGCTTTGATGAGCTTTTATTGTGAAGTGTTTTTCAAACAAGGGGTATATTTATATGGTGTCAGGGTGACTTTGTGGGTGGCCTCACATCTCTAGGGTTGGGGCTATGGATTCCTGTTCTGCTCTGTGCAGGGGGAGTTTGCCTGATCTTTCAGTGGCGCTCCGAATGATTCCTCTGCATACTCTGGGTTCCTCCCACAGTCTAAAGACATGCGGCTAGGTTAATTGGCATCTCTAAATTGTGTGTTATGTGCCCGGTGAGGCACTGGAATCGCATCCTGGGTAATGGCATAGATGACTAATGGCTGGAAGATTTGTTTATAGCTACTATTATTATTATTAGAGGCAGAGACCTAACTTTTAAATTTCATTAATCTTATCTCCTTACTGTCCTTCTCTCACAATATCCTCACCACGTCTTTTTTTTCTCTCTCTTCACCTTGTCTGTCTCTTCTTCAGTCGGTGCCCCCTCAATCCGCCCCCTCTTACCCCTGTATGCTCCCTTCATCCCCCTCTGCCCCTCGGAACTTTGACTCACCCCCTTATCCCTCTCCTCACCTGCCTCCGCCTCCCTCAGCCAACTCCAGCACAGGTGAGCGTGCCTGTTTATTTGATGCTGTGATCGTGTGTTTGAGTCGTGCTGCTGGATCTGCTCTGTTCAATGACTGTGCAGCTAAGTAGCTCACTTACACGTTGCCCGTGTTTCATTCCCCATAGGTCTAATTTCTCCGGGAGTCTCAGTACCGGTCCAGGTTCCTGGGAATGAACAGAACTTGGGTCAGAATATGGGTCAGTACTGGACCAGGCTGCAGTAGGATAGTGGGACAGTGGTACACAGGGAGGGAGATGCAGGAGGTGATACACAGTGAGAGTAAAGAGAAGCACAGACATGCTCACTCTGTGGAGGAATTCAGCTGCAAGGGAGACAAAACACACAATGGGAGCAAAACTTAAGCTGCGGCAGGGGAACCTCATAGCTGTGTTCTGGGAACGATGGTCCCACAGCAACACAAACCAATAGCCTGCTCTGGTTAATTCGGTGTTCATACAACAATCACAGCTCTGCATAAAACTAGTCCTCTTCACGGAAAAAGTTATAGAAAATAGATAATCCACCACCAGTCCTCTGTGAGGTTGACAGATCAAGTTTTGCTTTACTATTTAACCTACAGAAACGAAAGTAACTCTTTTAAAAAAAATTATTCCCCAGTAAATTTGTGGCCATATATGAGCAATATATTTCATTCCAAATGTAAAAAAAAATTGAACAAGCTCATCTTTAATGCAATGTCCACGTTATTTAATGCATACTCCATATTTTTAACACACATGGAGTACTTCCATGAACTCGCCTCATGGTTACTAACTAATTGTTGAATTCCAGCTGAACTTTTAATAAATCATTTCTGGGTATGAATATATAGAATTGCTTCATGCATGCATTGATGTACAAATACTGGAATAGAAGCACAGTTACACATGCCAGGTGGCCAGCCAAATGGTTTTAAATCAAACTGATTTGAATGTTTCAGCAAAATCAAGTATTCCTCTAAAATGACTGCAAAACTGGAATTAATTTGATGATTAATCAGTGAATTTATATGGCCGTGTCGTGTAGCTGATCCAATGTATTCTGAAAAATACTTTTCTTCTTAACGACAAGCGAGAAACAATCCCTTTTTTGTCTATGCAAAAATAGTAAAACTCCTCCTTTTAAAAGCCGGCTTTCTATTGATCACTGCATGAAAATACTGTAGTTTTGCTTGGGCTCCTGTGCTTATGCCACTAGAAGCTGTAAACCTTGACCTTGGCTTTTTAATCGTATCACTCATGGTTATTGGTTCATTGTATATGGATTTGCTACATGGTCAAAAGGCCTATACTTCCTGCTACTTTAAATATAAATTTTTAATTTGTCACGTTGTGGCTGTTAAAAAACTGAATAAATTAAATTCTAAAGCTCTATTCACATGGAATGAAAATGGAATTGGGGTGGTATCAATGCTTTATTTGGGTCTATATGAAAAGACTAGCTAAAGTTTTTTCTTTAAGGCATTTGTCGCTCTATTTGTCATGGGTTGGCACGTTCATTGATACAGATACTGAATGTCTTTGGGATGCAAATGGTAACAGGCTTAGGAAGTACACAACAGCAAATTATTATAAAAGATAAGAAAGACAAATTAAATTGTAAAATATGGCAAGACTTACAAGAGCCAACTCCTCTACAACTGGGATCTGTCAACATTTGAGTCAACTGAGGCTTGATATTGGAAGAGTTGGGAACCAAATGGCTTGGAGTGAAGTACTCCTCACTCTGCACTGTTTAAATTTTGTGAAAGGAGAAAAACAGGGTTGTCACGAGCGCGACCTGTAAAAAGAGCATCAGCGGTGCTCGGGACGTGCTTCAGAATCGGTGTGTTTCTGCACCGGCTTAATGTTACGGCTGAGTGACAGAGTGGCATTTATGATGGGCACGTGATTAGGGTGCTCCCCTCAGACCTCCTTCATCTGACACTCCTTCTTTTGTAGGGGGCTCAAACTACCATTTTTGCATGACAGTAACTACAGATGAACATCAGTACATTGACTTGGCTCACAGTCATCTCTGTTCTCTTTTGAGGAGTTTCTTGTTGATATGTGCAAACAGGCAGATGATGGATGATCTTTCTATATTGTTTCTATATTGTTCATGGTAACTCAGTACATTTCTTTGTGTATAATTGAGATCCCATGGTCATATTAGCAAATAAAATAGTTCTACTGACTGACATTTTGAAAGAAAATAATTTTTTGCTGTTGACTGCTTCAGTTTATTTTATTAATATATTAAAACTAAATACCACTGTCGACCCCAAAATAGTAAATGCTGAAACAGACAGATGCAAAACATTTTTTAAATTATTCATAAAGAAGAAAATATGTTCAAATTCTTGCTAAATCTGTTGATGCTAAGTAGCCAAATGCAAGAGAAGATAGACCTAACAAAATATGATTAATGAAATTTAAAATACAATCAGCCAATAACAATGAGCCAGAATAAAAAGCCAATGACAACCAAATACTGACACCAGCCAGTAAAAAAGAGACTCTCAGGTTTGCAAGAACTCAAAAATGAATAGAGTTCCATTCAGCCAAAAATATTTTATAACAGAAAAATGACAATCATTAGTATTGGTTGAAATACTTGAGGGAGTCACTTAAGTGTGTAAAGCTGCCAATGATGACAATCAAGCATGGATCTTTAACAGCGAATGACAATCAAAAACTGAATAATTTGAATCAAGGATGTTCCTTTATTAACAAAGTTCAGTCATCCAGAGGTGAACTTTACACTGGATAAATATGTTTTGCTGCAGCTGCTTAATTTCTATACATAATGTTTCCAGTCATATCATATATTATATGATTACATCAAAAAATAATTTTCTCTCACTGAGATTAAACTTTGCCACAAATAATATGTTATATTTTCAATCTATTCCTTAGCGGTTTCAGTATAGTTCTTGCCAGTTAGCTTTACAATGGTGTGAAAAATGAAATCGACATGAAACATGAAAACAAAGAGTTTTTGTTCATTTCTTCTGACTGGAATCATTAATATTATGAATATTATGTTGGACCATCTCTGGCCTTTCTCAGCATCTCTGTTCTGTTTGGCATTTTCTCCATGCATTTTAGGCAGATTCCCTGAATTTTTGGATACAGAAGGTCCAACAACATTCTTTGTTTAAATGAGAACGACCTTGTTTGATGGCTTTCTGGGAGCAATATGTTGTCTCACAATTGTCTATCATTTTTCAACTGAGTTCATACCTGGTCCATTCCCAGGCCAGGGTAACAAGCGGATATTCTTAGCTCCCAGGGATTGTTTCGCAGTCAGTGTGGCACGGTGCTTCATCTTGCTGGAAGATGTCACTGCTTGGAAGTGGCTTTGAAAATACTATGATAGTATTTCTGGCAGCATCTTCTCCAGAGCATTGATGTATAAGCCATGTATATAGCTTTCATGTGGATTTTTTTGGGGGGTAGGGGTGGGGACTTTTGGGTCAATTCTGCAATCCAATATGTGTGTAATATATATATATGTAAAAAATCTCTCAATGTGTCCTCCCTGCCCATCACTGAATCTACACCTGTGTGGTATTTCATTTGGTTCGTCTGGCCAATATTTATGTTTATGCAATAAGAATCAGTAACGTCGTCACTGAAAGGAATTGCAAAACTACTATTATTAGCAATAAGCTCATGTCATTGCTGTGTGATTCTGATATTTTTTACACCACTGTACTTTTTCCCTGTTGACTGAAATTTGATTATTTTATTCTTATTTGTTACTGCTGCTTCATGTTAAGTGTGTCAGACTGTGACATGATCTAAGTTAATCTTTGTTTTTTGTGTTTTTATTGTTAAACTTTTTGCAAAACAGTTATGAAATAAAAGTCTAACTCTGTGGAAATGTATTCGACCAGAAGTTTCTCTATCATTTAAAATTTAAATTGTACAAAATAGCAGAAATTATCAAAGTAATTGACAGTACAATGCTTCAGATAAGGAATGGTATTAAATAGTAAAATGTCAGTAATGATGAAAGGGGATGACAAGCAAAGGACTAATATAAACTTAACTACATTACTTTTCATAACAGTGCAGATTAAGAGGAGAGAGACTTTTTCTCAGTCAATCTCCAGTTGTATTTCCTGCTTACGTGACTGTAAGGCTTTCCTGTTTTTGTATCTCTACTGAAAATACTGTAAAAACAAACATGCAATTGCAATGACAGTAGGCTCACATTCTTCCCGAAAGACAAGTACAGAGATACATGAGATTTCATTCCTGTGGATGGACTGGTTTTTGACTGACTGAATTAATTAATTTTTCATTAAGTTCCCTGTTGTCTGTTGAAGAGACAACACATAATGGAAAGCATCTTAAATGTTTAACAATGAAAATGTTACCACATGAGTCTGGAGACCACAATGCGTCCACAAAGCCTTTTTCCTTTGGAGCTTCGGTCTCTGCACTTCCTCAGTTCTGCTTACTCTTTGTGTAGGAATACTGATTTACAATATATGGTTGCAATAGTTTATTAAAATTACGAATATTTTTTTGCCACACATATACACTACATTCATTTCCTTTTATATATTCTACTGCCTTTGATATATGCTCTCTTCGTTCTTGTTTTCCTGTATGTATCTGACGCTCTATCTTAATTCATTTGCAACAGGAAAATGATGAGTATCATTTGAGCTGAGGCTAACAACCTGTGCAGTTAATTATTGAGATTGAAAAAGATAATGAAAATTGGACTTCTTTGTAGATTACTGCAAGGGAATCATATGAATTATTCCCTCTGGATTCTATTGCAAACAGACGGCCCTGAAATTCATTTTATCTGTTTGTACATAGAGTCTATTCTTCCGATCTGTGTTCTAGCTTGATAATTGTTCCGACTCCCTCTAGTATCCCATTTCTAACAAATGTTTCTTTGACATTTCACATTATTTCAATTGAGTTAATATCTCCTAAATTATAGTTTGGCATAGCTTGTAAAAGATGGTGAAGAAGAGAGTTTGATATTGGGGGGTGGGAAATTTAATTAAAATATTTCAGGTGTATTTATTGAGGAGATGAATGAATCTAAATATTGGGGAATATATGTCCATCTGTTCATGCTGGTTCCTACACTCATACCTGTAAAGATCTCAGTTAAATTAATGTGTAAATGCCTGTTTGGATGCTGTACACACCTAGCCATTCATAAAACTTATTTATATGAATTTCTCCAGTTTTGCCTTAAAATCAAAGCACTGCCACGCATTTAGTTTGAAAACTCATGTTCCTACTCCATAACAGTCTTCTCTTTCGCTCTCTGTCTTGTGTGTTGTTGTTTCCTGTCACAAAGGAAGGGCCTCACCCACCAACTCTCCCTATTGGCCTAGATTTGGTCAACTGTGATTCTGGGATAGATAAAGCCAGAGGGGGAGATAGATAATGTGCTCACGAGACACAGAACAGGAGATATAGAGAGGACAGAGCAGAGTTTTTGGAAGAATGTGAGAAACAGTGCAACAGCCTGTTTAAGAGACAACACTGTGTCTCTCCTTCAATAAAATACCATGGAGAAAAAAGTTGAGGAACAAGGGTTCAGGTAAGTGCAGAAAGGGAGTAACAGCAACTGAAAAAGGATAAGGGGGAAATCATGGGCCATACATGTACAGGTACTTGTTGTATAGACATGGAAAAAACATAAATCCATCACAATTGGTAAATACCAAGTAAGTACTGTTATCACACTGCTGTCACTTTTGTTGTTATTAATTAATGTTTATGCATTTACCTAATTTTCAGCTGCATTTCGGCAGTTCATACTTATATCACATTCAGGTTCCAGGGTTAATATTCTGAAACATATCGAACGGACAACAAACCACGATCCTACTTCTTTCCGCCTGATCTCTTTCAGTCACTCTATCCTGTCTCTCCCAATCCTTGTACCAGTGTTTAGCTTTCCAGGGACACTGGACAGAGCTTGGGAGGGGCAGGGCTGAGGGTTTTACACGATATAGAGGGATCAGTACTATTTCAGAGATTAGGCAACAGATATATTTGTGGTGGTATTATGGTTATCATGGTATTTTCTCACATTTTCTGTGATTGTCAATGCTATTCTTTATGTTTACTAATAAACACTACATGTCAAAAATTATGTTGTGTCTGGTGATTAATTTTTGTTTGTAAAGTGCTAATCACATGTGTTCCTGTAATACTAACATAATATTTAGCTGGTTTCTCGAACCATTACAGTGATACATGTATCGGTCTCATTTCAACAAACAATTTTGTGAACCCTTAAAGGTTCAAATGGAGTTCCCTGTATTAAGAGGCAGATAGCGTACGGGACGCTTTTTATTGCCGCTTTAAGGCGGTCAAACAGGATCCATGTCTGACATGCGCAGAGCCTGAAAGCAGGAGACGAAAGGGAAACTGTAAATCCGAGAAATTGCTGGGAAATTCATTTATTTCAGTTCCCCTCTTAATCGTTTATAATGGGGAATAAGTCAAAAAGTGGCAGTGACGAAGGTAGGACATGTGCTCGGAGAACAGCCTGCGTAGTTTAATACATATCGATACTTCGCTAGATAATCTCTTGATTGAAACACGATTTAAAAAAAAGTTTAGTGGCTCCGACTTTACCAGAACTTGTGCCTAACTTGGTTTTCGCTCGCGAAGATACCTCAAATGTATACATCTGAAAATCTCGTTTTCTAGCATGTCTTTCATAACTTCATAACGTTTACAATGCGGAACAAGTGGTTATTATTATAATATAGACATATAAGGCTACCTCGACTCCTGGATCACATTGCTTCACCGAAACACTCTCAGGTTAGTAATTAACTCATTTTGGGTCGTGGATCGTAAAGGATCAAACTGCGATCCGTTTCGATTAAACTGTAGATTACATGCCAGAACGTGTGTCTAACAGCTTATAGTTGAAGATCCTGTCTGACAACATACAGTTGCATTGAATTAGCTACAGTGCAACTGACTGGATCTTGACAGTCCTAGAAAGGGGACATTGTTTTGCCAGTTATTATCTTTCACGTCGGAGCTCATCCGACCTCCCCCAAGCGATTTTAATCATCTTTTTGTATTTTTCCCAGGTTCAGGTAAGGCTGTCATATGCCAAATTAATATTACGCGAACGATCATTGAATGTTGGCTTGATTCTATTATATTAACCGATCTATTTAACTTAAGTGATTAAAAACTGGTTTGAACTGAAAGAGAGAATTCACGCGCTATGACGCTCTTTGTTGTTGTAATTATGCGAGCTTAAGTTATAAATAGCTTCTAGGTGAGTAAATTCTTCACCTGTACGTGCAATTAACAGTATATGCTGTCCTTGAATAGATAAAGATGCTATTAGCTGGACTATCCCGAACTGAACAGCTGAATAACCATTATGGATTCATCATGTGGATTTAAACCACAGTATTTTACGCAAATCACAATAGTTAACAGCCGGAGAACATGTTTTACTCTGGTACAGGGTACAGTGGATGCCTTTTTTTGCAGCGAGTGAGCTTTTTAGGGAGTAATTATGGATCTGGTCATAAAGAGTAGGCTACGGCTTCGTTTTTTTGAGGTGGATGTGCTTGCATTTGTGTTTTAAGAACCCCTAAAATGTACACTCTTTAATGTTCAAAGTTCGATAATCTGAAAAACTGTACAATTACAATTATGAAGTCTTAATATAGGCTATATTGCACTAAAAAGTATTACATAGTCTCTAGAATTAATCCTATGTTAATATCTGTCTTTGTAGAAGTTAGTGAACTGTTATTGCTATCTATATTGCTCTCTCTAAATGGATTTGTATACAAAACGCAAATGTACGGCAGTCACAGCAAAAAACAAACAACAAAAAAAAAACAACACCGCCGAACTTCTTTAAAAATAAAAAAAAACTTTGCACTGCTTCTTAAGAGTGTAGTGTGTGTTGTTGGGCGACAGAGACAGACCAATGAGACCGCGTACTGACGAAATGTCAGCATTCATTAAACACACTTGACCGCTGTGGCAGGTGAGTCTGATGTCTGAGTGTTAATGACAGCTTGCCTTCAGCAGACTGGGGACTGGATCCAGTTGTGCTGTTTGTGTCTGCTGTTTCAGAAGCATCATGATCTGGGTACAGTTATCTGCTCTGCGAACCTTGGATAATCAGGTTTTCTGTAAAACTCCTTTTGTGTAATTTGTGTTTTTGTGCTTGTTTGTTTGTTAAATTATGCTTTAAAATTGTTTACTTTGTGCACTCCTAAAAATAGTACAATGCTATTCATAAATTTAGATCAATCAGCCTCTTTTCCTACCTGGATAAGATCTGAACCATTAAATTATTTAGGTAAATACATTTCATGATTAAATTTGATACCGTATTACTTGTTGTGGAGCGGCATGGTGATTCATTGGCTAGTACTGCTGTCTCACACCTTGGGGGCTGGGGATTTGGATTCCATGTCCACTTTGTGCTTGTGGAGTTTGCAGTGTTCTCTCTGTGTCTGGAGGGTTTCCTACCATAGTCCAAAGACTATGCCTAATCGGCATTTCCAGTTTGCCCATGGTGTGTAATAGCAATTAGAAGGTGAATGGCATGAACATTCCTCTAGAAAAATATCCTTGAAATATTTGGATATGTCTTATCACCAAGAGTTTTGCACTTATAACTCCTTTTTTAGTTTGTCTGTTGCACAGTGGACATAGGGGAACGTTATCTTGAGCCATTGTCTGTCTCTGTATGGATGATGAGAATGATACTCTAGTTGATTTGACCTTAACCTGACTTGTCTGGGATCCAGGTAGAATGGTTTTCTTATAATGTTACAATAATTCACTGTTATTTTAATTGACTGCTAAATGGATGAAATTTTATTTCATTTGGCTTATTCGTTTTTAAACAATTCTGCCTTGTTGTCAGTGCACTTGTCCCTGGCTAAGTGCTGAATCTTAGATTACAATTAATATTTATTACAACAGCCAAATGGCAAATATTTTACAGATGGGGCTTGAATTTAGGGGTAAGTGTTGCCTTTGGCAGTTTTTTTCAGCCACTGTATGTAATTATTTTGGCTTGGAGTGGTTTAGCATGATGTGCTCAATATTGTTTGGCGTATCTATTGAAATATTATCGTAAACCCTGCTGTCAGTTTCCATATTATTGTTCACGGAGGCAGTGTGCTGTCAGAAAATGTTTATATTCAGGGGAGCGGTTGATCACTATTAATAGCGATGAATGATTGCTTTGAATGACTGAAAACTAGAAGATATACAGTATACTCCTATACAGTAATTAGAAAGTGGTCCTCTGGATTTGTGATATTACTTAAGGAATGTGAGGAAAAATAAAAGGAAGTGGTACCTTATGGCATCCAAGTTGGGGATTACCTCCACTGCAGGTGACACATGTGGTATTGTACAGCTCTGGAAACTCAAAATATCTAATACCTTGTAGTCACTCTAGATCATTTCTTTTTTCTAGGATGTAACATTCCTAAGTGGCAAAGGCAGAATTGGTATCAGTATACTCAGCTGATGTTTTCAACAAAATGTCATTTTCTATGTTTATCACTGCAGTGTCCATATAAAGTAGTATTTGGTGATTCTCATGCTTTAATAATCCCCTTTTTTCCCAGTAATGTCAGCAGTGGAGATCCAGCCTACATCCTTTCCCATGTCTAGCTCCCCTTCTCCCGGTGACTCCATCTCTCTGCTGGAGGCCAAGGAAGACACTCGGTTGGTGCTGAATGCTTTTCTTCGGCAAACTCTCACCCTTCCTCATTCCCAGCGCCCTGGGAGGGTTGGTGGTGCATACAAAGACAGCAGCAAGTTCAGGTACAGAATTTCCCAGTCTGCTATCCTCACCGCATTCACAGTGTTGCTTGCATAGCTCATTACATTATATACTCTTCTATTCAAGTAATGGCTAATAGAAATAAAACACTGGTGTAAAAAGGATGGAAAATGTAATGAAAGCAGATGCCTCCACACACATTTGACTGTTGAATTAAGCAGCCAGCATCTTATCTTGTCTAGCCTAACATATGTAATTTCCAGACAGGTTCGCTTACCCGTTTATTTTGGCTACTAAAAAGATGCAATATCATTCCTCACTGGTCAATTTTTTGGCAAAAAAGTTTTCAGACATAGGTGGTCTTTAAAACATGTTTGCTCAGAGTGCAATCTTTCAGGATGGCAATGCCACCATCCACGGCGTATGAGAACACAGTGGTGCATGGTCATGGAAATCACATGGATTATATGCTTTGGCTGTCACATTGAATAGATTTCGACCCAAATGAGATGTTAATCATCAACAAAACATATGATGATGGATTTTTCATGGAATAATGGTGTCAACATCTGTCAAGCAGAGTTTCAGAGACATGTAGCTTATATACTGAGGTGCACTGAAGTTGATTGGGGGCAACACCAATTATATGTCTATTGCCAAGTGAAATGCTCTGCATAAAGGTTTATACATTTGTATATTCCTCATTTCTCTTATGTAGAAAATACATTTATATGTTCTTGGTTTGAATTTTTCAGAATAGATTGCAGTTGTATCTTGGTTTCATTTCCTTTGTATAAAAATTAGAAGCTTATTCAGCTCTTAATTCTGCCTAGGCCATAGTGCCATTCCCCTCTTGCCCACAGACTCATTAATATCAGATGTTCATCTTTTTGTTCTCATCCATTTCAGTGCGAGTAAGAAGGAGAACCAGAGGTGGGTGGACGATGGCTGGGACTCTCTTGATGAGAAGATCAGTAATGCGGAGGAGAAGAAACATGGCTTTAAGGACCTAATTAAGAAGAGACTGCGTCGCCGGCGCCTCGCAGGGTCAGTGCATCAGAAGAAGGATACCCCAAATGCAGAACCGAAAGTGGAACCAATGCAGAAAGATGTTAAACCAGAGCTACCCAAGCTCAAGGATTCTGAGAACAGCCACCGCTCTAGTACTAAGTCTAAGTTACCTAAGCATGAAGTAAGTTCTAGATTTCTATGGTTTGAATAACCTCTAAAACTGTATTTATATACTATTTGTGCAAAACCTGAAATTGTCAAAATGTAGGATATTTGTGGTTGATGACAGATTATGATACTTTTATTAATGTGTTTTCAGCTACTGTAGGGTTATGTGTGCCACTCAATTTTTTCCAGCCAGAAGACGGGTACGCATCCACACCTTCCTCGGACGACGAGAGCGAGAGGAAGGACAAAAAGACAAAAAAGAAGTTGTCAGGCTTCTCTTCACTGATACGGAAATTCCGACTGTCCAAGAAAGAAGATCAACACGATGAGAACTCGCGCCCTAAGAGGCCCAGTAACCTCGCAATTTCGCCATTCAAAAAACCTACTGATCCGGCTAGTGCCTCTCCACACTCTCCTTCATCTCACCCTCCTCAATTCTATGAAGACGTGGCAGAAACCCTGGACAAAATTGCTCAGAAACACATTGTGACCAAACCAGCATGGCCCTCCTCGGACAGCCAGCCCACAATCACAGCAGAAAGTGAGAATGATTACTGTGACTTTAATGCTGTTGCTATGGTCAGATGTTCACCAACCAGCACTTTGCCGAAGGTCCTAGTGGGCCTGTTTTAGCTGGGTATAGCATGGAAAAATTGTATGAAATATAAATTAGATCTCGTTATATTAAAATCACATAATCAAAAATTTGATAGAGTTTACATAAATAATATATAATATATAAACATTTATCTTTATTTTCAGTCTAAATCACCCCAGTTAATTGTATAAAATAATTATTCAGTTTTAAGTTTGAGAACACTTTACAGGAGGGGGCACAAATAATATAGTATTATGTTATTACATATACATTAATTAACAACAAACTAATTCTTAGCTACATGTTAAGCTCATGTTAATTTATCATTAATGAATTGTGACTCTGGGGCGGCGCGGTGGCACAGTGGTTAGCAGTGGTTAGAGTTCCTGGGTTTGGTCCTGGGTCCTTTCTGTGTGGAGTTTGCATGCTTTCCCTGTGTTTGTGTGGGTTTCCATTGGGGGCTCTGGTTTCCTCCCACAGTCCAAAAGCATGCAGGGCAGGCTGATTGGCAAGTCTGAATTGGCTCTGTAATTGTGTGTGTGTGTGTGTGTGTGTGCCCCCTGCGGTGTTTGGGCGACTGCCCAGGGTTGGTTCCTGCCTGCGAACCCTTGTTCCCGGGATAGGCTCTGGTCCCCTCCGCGACACCATTTTGGATTAAGCGGGGATGGATGGATGGAATCGTGATTCCTCTTTTATCTCAAGTAGCAGCTATATGTTTATGATGTGCTCATGATTTGTACTTCAGTAGTAACGGAGTTATTAAAGTTTGCTTATGTTTCATTGCCACAGCTGCAGTTACTTTTATCAATCCATCTACATAAATGTGTAATTTTCCTAAAAGATCCAATACCATGCAGTGCTATATGTATGAAGTCAAAGATAAAATGGCAGAGTTTTTAAACAACAGTATTTGCAATTAATTCGCAAAGTAGGTTTTCTGCTGTAAAAGATAGTGATTCCCGATGATCCTTGTCTTGTAGCAACAATGTTTGCTTTCCAAAGGTATTTCAGCTGTGGTCTATAATGATGGCTCTCCAGTACCTCAGATTTAAAGCAGAATATTTTGTGACTGGTGTGTCAGTCGTGTTATCTGGGAGGAATGACTTATTTTTGTATTTAGTATTGGGTTTACTCTTTCTCCAGGCAAAGACAAGGAGGCCGCTGTGAGGCAACTAGTTGATATTTTATCAATGCAAGGGGATGCCATTAACAAGAAGGTATGAAAATCTAATTCTTTGGCCAACCATCTGCATCTCCCATGACTAATTACTGTGATTAGACATAACAGAAGCAATTATACCTGATCGACTGTCAATCCTGTTGACTTGCCCTCACAGATCAAAGAAGACCCATTTCTGAAATCGACACTGGCCAGTCTCTCTTATCCGTCCTTTGCGAAGTTGCTCGACATGTTTGCCGATGAAAACGAGGGTCCAGTCCCCACCCAGTCTGACAGTACCACGTTGTCCCACATTGCGGTGACGATGGAGGCGTCCCGGCGGATCCTGACAGCCAACGGCACACAGAGGATGCAGGGCTATGCAGAACGCTACATGCTAAAATTCGTCCCCTTGGTGCAAAGTCAGGGTGGATGGGTGAGTCGCCGCCTACTTCCTGTGCATTGCCTTGGTTTGTACTCCTAGGCCGTTCTTTCTCTTATATGATTGATTGTCATTTTGCCATTTAATTTCCAGGAATGTACGTAACGCTAAGCACAACTTATATAGGCCCAGTATGATATCATCTAATATTTGTCATTTAACATTACCATTATACACACCTACACTTCCCAACTAACCTATCTGACAAAATTTGCTATTAATGCATATCACTGCTGTACATTTACAACTGAAAAAACCCCACTGCGAAAACCCAAAACAATTTAGAATGTTTATAATCTCATATCACATTTGATTTATTCTTTTTATTTATTGTTTTATAATCCAAAGGGGAAAGCAACATATTTGAAGCCTCTTACACCATTCTTTAATACACATTCTAAAAGCAGTAGTGTATTCGCAGGAATTTAACTTTCACCACAAGGTGTCTCCAATGTTCTTGAAAGGATGTCTGAATTGGAACACTGAGAACAATGGTTTTTTTTCTCAGTGTTTTTTTTTTTTTTTTTAAAACCGATAGAGCTGTCTCTGACTTTTTTTTTCCATTTTCTTTGCTTCTTTGCAGGAGAAGATAGTCCAGTTACAAAATCTTTCTGAGTATGATTAACTAAGAGGACTGGTAGAACAATAATTTTCTTCTGAACTGACATGAATTGACTGGAACAACCAAGGGAAATAGATGGTGATCCTCCTAACACATTTAACTGTTATTTGTTATTCTACTATTGTGCAATAGTATTGATGTTTTTATACAAAAACTTCTAATGTAGATACTGCATTCACAAACTGAGATGGCATATTTTATATATTGCAGTAGAGCGGCTCAGTGGGTAATGCTGTGGCCTCACTTCCAAGGTTGTGGGTGCGATACCCCTATGTTTAATGGGCGTTTCCTCCTTCTGCTTAGATTTCAGTTTCCATCAGTGTATATGTGTCCCCAAATGAACTCACACTCTTTATAGAGTGAATGTTGCCCTGTGATATATCCTTGCACTGTCTCCATGCTCAGTGTAACACGGCTTTGAATAACTGACTGGAAAATGTGAAATTAATGTGAAAAATACATTACAGGGCATTTCTGCACGGTCAAAAAAATCAGAGAAATCAGAATCATACTGTTGGGGAAACAGAATATTATTCCCTGACACCGTCAAAAAATCTGTAACATAGGCATATAACACATGTTTAGAACCAGTTACTCAGTACAGTGCTGCAGCATTATCCCAGAAATCACAGGGCAGGAGGCAGAGATCACCCTAGGTGGGCTACCAGCACATCACAGGGCTCACACACTAGGGGCAATTTAGAGACTCTGCTCACCGTGCTGCATCACTTTACACAGGCGATCTGGGGTGAACATGCAAACTTACACTCATTGCTGGGATTGGGTATCTAACCCAAAACCCTGGAGGTGTGAGGTTCTACCCACTGAGCCATCATGCCACTGATATGTGACTGTAAATAAATTGTATGTAAAGTGTCTAAATACCTCAATCGGGTACTGTGTAAATGATTGAAGGATGGATGTATGGACTGACAATATATAAAAATACATACAACACATTCAATTCAGTAATTGTCTTGATGTTGGAAGAAAACAATGACAATGCTGTGGACCCAGTGAGCACAGGCTATGTATTCTTTATTGTGTTCAGGTGTCTGTAGAGTTTGCTAGGTGCAGTTTGGAAATGAGAACATGATTTTATTGTCTTTCCAAGATATGGTGACCTATTCAAAAACTTAGAAATGACTCTAAGAGTTATTCGTTACTCTGTCAAGAGCTGTTTCAGTTTTGCTGTATTTCAGTCATTTCAGTAAATGTTAGATCAGAAGAGCTTCTGATTAACACATCACTCTCAAAAGGTTGAATGCAAACCGATCAAGTTTCAATTTATTCTTTTTCAGCAGGTGCCTCATCACAGAACACAGCTTTTTAAGAGACATGTAATAGTTTTTCTTTGTGCAGTTCCCATGTAGATTTAATAATTTAAAGAGAAGTTTGTAATACGATTGTAATAACCATCTTATATTGTACAATCACACTTATGTCCATGATGACCCATGCAGTTGAACTCCTATTTCTGCCTTTTCCCAAGCATGCTTTGGTTAACCTCTGATATTTCAGTATTTTATAAATTTTATCTATTGTGCCTTTTAGTAGAAAAATACTTCATTCACACAAAAAAGAGTTTAGTTGAGCATAATTGACAAATAATTCCCCAAAAACAACTGTCTGACACCTGTTTGAAAACACGGTTTTTATAGTTTGCTACTATACTTGTTTAAGCAATGGTGATTCACCACACACACATATATATATATATATATATAGTACATGGGAGTTAGGGAGTCATACACACACACACACACACACACACAGTATATATTTTTGGGTCATTCATAGGAAAATTCTGTAATCTTTGAATAAGTCTGTTGATGAGAAGAACAAAAATTTTACAGAAAAGGCTTCTTTGGAAGTTTCGGCACATTTTGGGATATAGACAAGTCAAATCTGAAACCTGCATTTATTAATTGGTCTTCATTTGATGAGAGACAAGCTCACTCCATTATTCTTAAACAGCTGTAGTAAGACAGAAAGCTTGACCATCCTGCTCACCCTCTGCATCGTCACCCACTGGGGGCAGTAGAGAGGAGGAGAGGGAGGCTGTCAGGGGGTTGCTCTCCCCGCCATCCTTGGTGCTGTGTAACAGAGGCACTTCTTCCTTGTTGTCTGCCTCATTCTCTCCCAGATTTCCTCCTAGTGCCTCAACCTTCCCTTCCTGGATTGTTGTGAAAGTACTCAGCATCATCTGCTCCTCGTCCCCTTCTTTACTTTTCTCCTGCACCTCCTCTTCCTCCTCTCCCCCCTCCTCCATTTCCTTTTCTCCACTGGCAGGCATAGGGCCAGCCCAGGCATCGTTCACTGGGTTTTTCTTCTTTTTGTTGTAACTTCCTCCATTGTGAAAGCTAGTCCTCAAATTTTCACTGCGCTTCTTCTTCCTGAGCTTGACAAGGGTGTATATAATTCCTCCACCCATACAAATGACAAAAAATGTGATAATTATGACCCATAACAAGTTCAAGTGATTGGCTTTGGAAACTGTGGATTGAATCTGACTTACAGTGAAAGTGGCAGTTGTGCTATCTGCATCAGTCTTGTGCATTTTTTTGTCCAAGGAGACAGAGTATTTAGGAGCATCAGATATATTTAAATCCTGATGTCCACTTATTGGAGAATCAGATGTTCTAAAATGCTGACGTCCACTTGTTGGAGAATCAGATGTTCTAAAATGCTGACGTCCACTTGTTGGAGAATCAGATGTTCTAAAATGCTGATGTCCACTTGTTGGAGAATCTGATGTTTTAAAATGCTGAGGCGTACTTGTTGTGATGGGCCACGTTGTGTAATTTTTAGTAGTTGAAGTTTTAATTTGTGGTCTAGACTGGAAAGCAGATAAAGTAGTTCTTGAAATTGGTAGAAGTGTTATTTCAGGAACTGGCTGAATGGTCGTTTCCAGGGTTTTAGACTCTGACAGAGGTGTGCTTGAAGTTTCCAGGTGAGTTAGGACACCAGTATCAGTTGGAGGTAAGGTCATACTTAGATGCTGGGTCACTGTACTTGGACGCTGCATGTATTTTGTGAGTTGTGATTGGGTATGCAAAGCTGGTTTATGATGCTGTGTTATGGGTATGAAGGTCTGAGCAGGGAGTGGAGGAAAATTTATGAAGAGGAAGGGTGTTGTCAAGACAAGTACTGAAATAAACATTCTTCTGAGGTCTGTGATACAGTGGTTACAGAATTGATTGATTTAATGGTTTCTCACTAGCTGAAGTAACAAAGAATTGTTAAACGTAGCAGTTATATGACTTCCAAATTTTGGTTTATCTGAGAGAACATTTACCCTCTCGTCGAAATTAGTCCAACTCAGCCCAAGAAGTGTTAGTCCTAGAGCATTATTTATATGGCAAGTAGGACTACTTGTTTAATGATAGCTCAAAACAGTTTATCAATTAGGTGGTTTATTCATTTGTCCATTAGTTTGTTTGTAATTCGGTCATTCCAAAGTTTCCTTGTTTGTAAAAATGAAACTGGGGAACCAGGCTGATTTCTGTCTTTCCTTTTCCACCCTGCAGTTGTTGGACTTTTTATTGCATTTCACATTAGAATCATTCCATGGTTTTATGCAATTTATATTTCTGCCATCTTTGCATGAAATGGAAAAAAATGAGATTTCATCAATAATAAACAGAGCCTTGGTTGTTTGTATATGAAAACTGCAATGTCTGTTGTGTTCTCCTTTTGATGTACCTTAAAAGTCCCTTAGTAGTCCTGCTTCCACAGTGTCCACAGTGGCGCTCTTTCCGAGGCTTTTCTCTGTTCTAAGTTCACCATCACATCTCTCTTTAAAGCTTCTTCTTAGACTGGACCACTGAGAGAAAGAACAGAGGAATATTCTTTTAACTGGAGAGACTGCCATTGGATCACCTCTTATATAGCTAAGCTTTGCTGAATGTCTAATCTATCATCGTCAGTTTGACAGAATAGCCACAGCACTGTTGGACCCCTCAGCAAGACCCTAAACCCCAGAAAAATGCTCCAAGGGCATCAGATAAATGCCTAACCCTCTACTTGAACCCCCACTTTCACCTGTATGTACAGTATGTATATGTCTCAAAAAAGGAACGCAAGATGCACACATGCAGAAAGAAGTATTCAAATATACCTATACTCATACATGTAAAAATGGCAAAGCATCATTTAATTACGTTTTATTCCATTATATCTAAAAGTTTAGAAAATACAAAACAATATCACTAAAAATGTAAGCTGCACTGACATATTTGCATTGTCTAATTTAAATGAATCAAACATGCATGTAAACACAAGAACTCCCTAAAATAAAGATTTTCCATATTAATCATATTCTTGCAAAAGTTCTTTGTTGAAGTAACAAACTACTTGACACACTGAAAGTTACACCATACCAACATTTGCTTAAATTAAGATACCCCTTTAAATATAGCATATGTGCATGGAGGATATTTTTCAGAGACACCAGTAACTTTAAAAAGCCTACAGAGAAAACAGTCCTGATATATAACTGCATCCATAAGACACCTCCTTAGTACACCATATATATCAGGGGCAAATAAAAGCTGATGCTGGGTCTCGTGTGAGATTTTCATCATAGACTTAATGGTAAAAATGTGTCTATATGGCACACAAAGTATCTCCAGCAGACTGAGGATGGAACACCTGACTTCAGGCTACTAGATCTCACGGAATCAATTTGCAAAATCATTTCACAATAATTTAAATGCTAAAGCTACACAGGAGATGTGCGACAATGTGGTGAAAAAGCAGTTTGAGAAATACCCCAGAATATTGCTGTTCAAAATGTGCCACAAATTCACAATTAATGCAGAAAGCAATTAATTCAATGTTTAAATACAGGGTTTGTAACACGTTTTCTGTGTAACTTGAAACTTGTTTACTCAGTACACTGATACTTTTTTCATTTCACAATTGACCGTGTCACAATTCTGTTTCACAATCTCCCTGGTAGTTCCTGTAACAGATGAAATGACTTACCTGAATTTCATTGCTCAAATGTTAGAAAGTAATGAACAAAAATGTCGATATATGCATGAATTTAATAGAACCAAGCTCTTTCTGTTGTCACTTGTGCTGTCTCTTCCTCTTTCTGTGTATGTCAGAGAGGGTGGCTGATTACACCAATAATAAAGATGGCTCGCTCAGATGGCTGGAAATTCTGCCTAGGTGTGGTTTTTCAATGTGTGAAAGTACAAATATGATACATGACTATGTTTGAGTTTTGTTCAAAGTCAATTTCTTTTGCATGCACATTGGAGACATGAACATGGAGGCGTGAAGACAACATGGAAACAAACCAGTCACTTCAAAAATGTTTTAATTATCTACGGTATATTTAGAAGTGGTAAATTTGATCCACATTACGTTTCACCAGTGCACATTTACTGACGCGTGGGAAAAGTCAGCTCTTCCTCTCATATCTATTTAAAATCATGTCATGCAGTTCATAGAAAATTTGTAAGCTTGTTTCCTCATTTGTTACACACTGTTCTTTTCATTTGATCTAACTTACCCATTACAAAAGCAGGTCATGTTTTACTCTGCTTTTTAGCTGGGTATCTCTTCTTCCCCCCATAGCTAGCACATGTGCAGCTCTTATCCAGCTTATTTTCCCCAACATTAGGAGGTAAAATGGATTCTGAGCTGAAGTTCCCAGAATCTACATCTTGCATTAAATGTAACTTGATGTATGTAGTGCTGACACACAGTACACAGTAGAATTTATAGTTTACGTTCTAGTAAAGGTAAATTAAATGGTTTCAAAATAACTTGTAATCTTAATTACATTCTTTCGAGTTTTTAAATCAATTGGTAAAATGTCAGGCATGTGCAGTTACGTCTTACTTCATCCACTGAAATAAAAACAATAAGTAAAATGCATATAATGAAACTTTCACAGCAAATCTTCATTTTCTCAGCAAGAGCAGACCCTGCCCAAGTTTCAGTAGCAAATGACAATTCCATGGCAGCAAGGAACTGGGTTGCATGTGAAAGTAAGAGGATGTGGTATGTGGCGTTCATCCTTTTTCACTGAGAATGCAGAACAACACTTCCTGTTGACTCATTTTTTTTTTATAACTGATTTTAGGGGCAATGAAGGTTAGCAACTGTCACGACACCTGGAATTGTAATTATGAATATATATAGATGCATCTAAAAGTATTGGTACCCTAAAAAAAAAAAGAATCACAAGTAAATAATGTTGACTTGGTGGGCAAAATGGTGTGGGAGGTCTGGGATGTATTGTAAGCTAGCATTTGGTACTCATAGTTAACATGTCGAATGCTCAGGGATGAAGACCTGAGTGACTTTGACAAGAGCCAAACTACTGCAGCCAGGCGACTGGGTCTGAACATCTTTGAAAAGGCAGGGCTTGTGGGGTGCTCACAGTCAGCTGTGGTGAGAACCTTCTGAGCATGGTCTGAGAAGGGAAAAACCATGATCCACCAACAGGGTGCTGGGTAGTCAGGATTCATCGATGCCAGATGTGAATGAGGGCTATCTCATGCAATGCAAAACAACAGAAGGGCTACTATGGCACAAATGGCAGATAATTCTGAGGGTGGATATGGGAGTAATGTGTCACGACACAGTGCATGGAGCCCAGTTGGGTATGGGGCTGTGTAACCTCATGCCAAAGTGCCCATGCTGACCCCTGTCCACCATCGAAAGTGCCTATAATCAGCCCATGAGCAATGGAACTGGAATTTGGAGCAATGGAAAAAGGTCACGTGGTCCTATCGAACCCATCATATAGGCTGAGGTACATGTCAAGCATCTACATGTGTTGGACTAACAAGTCCAATCCACAGCTACATAGCTCCATATGCAGCAAGGCTCAATGCACTGTGTGTCATTACACATTATTAGGTAGGGTTTCCCTTTGTTCATTAGTGTTCCAGAGTATGGATTCCAGAAGATGTTGATTCCTTTGAGATTCTGGTCCATCGTGACATGATTGCACCATGCAATTTCTGCAGATTTGTTAGCTGCCCATCCATGCTGTGAATCTCCCATTTTACTACATCCCAAAGGTGTTCTACTGGATTCAGATCCATTGACTGGAAAAGTTTTAAAACCAGTTCAAGATGAACTCTTCTCTGTGACATGGTGCATTATCATGCTGGAAGTAGCCATTAGAAGATGGGTAAATTTTTGTTTGTCTATTAATACAATACAGTATAATACAGTGGTACCTCAGAACTCGAATTTAATCCGTTCAGAACTCTGGGTCGAATCCTAAAAAGTTCGAGTTCTGATCGAATTTTCCCCATAAGAAAAATTACACCTAAATATGATTTTTTTTAGCATTTAAACACAAAATGAACCGGATAAAACAAGAAGAGCATATACTGTACTAAACACATCTAAGCACATTTATCAAAACTGCAATTTGTAAAGTAAGAAAATAAATGTATCCAAACAATGTGTAAAGTTAAAAAAAAACTATATGACCTGCCCCAATCGTCTGCTCCTTCCATGTGCCACACCCCCTCATTAACCCCGTGTGGAATTCCCATGAGATCAGCTGTTTCTGGTTGTTGTCATTAGTCCTCTGTATTTAATCCGCGTTTCAGTTTGTTTCCCCAGTCGGTCATTGTATTGTCCGTCTGCGTTTTGCCTGCCTTACCTGTAATTAAACCCCGTATTCCCAGATACCCTGACGTCTGCGCCTTTGTTTTCGTTCCATCCCCGGACAATATTATTATAATTAAATGTATTAATGGTTTATTATTAATATTAAAATAATTAATAAGAAATCTTTATTTTAAAATGTATTTTATTATATAATAATAATTACTGTTACTGTCCATCATTGTCTAAATGTATTTTTACTGTCTAAATATATGTATTCAGCTATAGTGTAAACATGCACAATCCTATCACTGCAAATGCGAGGCTGAGACTGAAGCGATACCCTTTGTTTCCGCTGAGAGACATGCCACGTGACTCATTTCCCCCTGTACAAGTTATCCTAGGTCGGCGTTCACGGTTTGATTTCTGAGATACAGACCGAGTTCTAGGTAATTTTTTTTTCGAACTGGTTGGTTCGACTTTTAAGAAATCCGAGTTCTAATGAGTTTGAGAACTGAGGTACCACTGTAGAAGGGAAGCACATGGTCAGCAATAATACTCCTGTGGCATTCTAGTCATGATTGATTGCTACTAACTAGGGTTGGGGCCATACCGGAATGCATTCATCAATTCAATCAACAGTGTTGGGGCTAGTTACTCAAAAAAGTAATATATTACATATTACATATTACTCTCAAAAATAGTAATGCCTTACTTTACTTTATTACTCCCTGGAGAAAGTAACTAGTTATATTACTAGTTAATTTTTTTTTCTTAATTACTCTATAATTGCCTGAGATGCATCAGATGGAGGGAGAACATACAAAGGAGGAGTGTTCTTTAGGGTCTTTATTACACCAACAACAGACTGGCACTGTCTAGCACAAATAACTACAAACAACTGTACTTGTGCAATCAAGTACAAACAAGTATTAACTTCCTCAATGTTTAACAAACACCGTCTGTTAAGTGCAAACAATCAATCAATTTGATTGTCAATTTATAACAAGTCCAAACATATATTGTTTGCACTTCACCGTCAAGTTATTTTCCTTCCGTTGAACATATTCAAAATAATGACTGAATCTCCACCCGTCGAAACTAGCTTTCTGTTGCTGGGAACCTTCCTCTGAAAAAGAGCTTGCCGTTGTTGACGCTTCCATTTTTCCCCATCTGTCTTTGCGGGTGCCGCTCTGCTGCCGGCTGCCTGGTGTCGACCAATCGGTGATGGTAAATGATACCTCGTGCCAAACCCAGACCAATCACTGTTCCATTCATGCCCCCCTCCCCTTCCCTTCTGTTCTCTGTGTTGTGTGCCTTGTGTGTGATGAAGGTGCTACTGGCAAATGTAACGCAAGTAACTAGCTCGGGAAAACTGTAATAATATTACCATTTTCAGACGAGTAACGCCTTACACTACTAGTTACTGAAAAAAGTAATATTATTACAGTAACGTTTTACTTAAATTATTACTTTGTAATGCGTTACACCCAACACTGTCAATCAATCAATGGAACTGGAGTTGGGATTGGGAAAAAACTATGGGGAATAGAACTGGAATTGAATTTGAATTTCAGGGAGATTTAAATTCCAACTCCAGTTCCATTTACTGATTTGGACTGGAATTGATGAATGCATTCTGAAATGGCCCCAACCCTACTATTAACGGGTTGAAAGTGTGGCAAGAACATGTTTCCCAGATTACACCACCACCACCCTGGGCCCAGTTTCTCAAAACCTTCTTAACGCTATGTTGTTTTGTCTTTTAACATAGAACTTACGAACAACGTAGCATTAAGGTTTCCAGAAACCGGGCCCTGGACTGTTGACACAAAGCAGGTTGGGTCCATGGTTTCATACTGTTGATCCTAAATTCTCACCCTGGCATCTGTGTGCTGAAATCAAGTTACGTTACACCAGGCTATGTTTTTCCAGTCTTCAACAGTCCAGTTGTGGTGAGCCTGTAAACACTGAAGTCTCAGCTCTCAGTTTTTTGCTGACAGGAGTGGAACCAGACATGGTATTCTGCTATTCTAGCCCATCTGCTTCAATGTTTGATGTGTTCTGCATTCTGATATGCTTTTCCACTCACCATGGTTGTACAGAGTGATTATCTGAGTTACCGAAGCCTTTCTGTCAGCTCCAGCCAGTCTGGCCATTCTCCTCTGATCTCTCTCATAAAGAAGACGAAATGCCACTCACTGGATGTTTTTTGTTTTTCCATGGCACTCTGAGTAACGTTATAGACTGTTGTGTGTGAAAATCCCAGGAGATACAAGATACTCAAACCAGTCCAACTAGCACCAACAATGCTGTGGTTAAAATGATGATTTTTTCCCCCATTCTAGCATTTCATGTGATCATGAACTGCAGTTCCTGCATGTTTTTATCCATTACACCACAGTCACATGACAAATGATACACAATGCATGTTCCTAATAAAGTGATCAGTGAGTTTTCATTTGATCTAACTTACCTATTGTAAAACAAGCCATGTCTTTTTCATTTTTAAATTAATTAGTTAAGTAACTCAACTAAGTGTTGTTTAGTCAAACAAATGATGTAGCAATCGAGTCAAAAACACATTGGTGTATTGTATAGCTGCTGCAAATACCGGGCTGATTTCAGGAGAGGTTTTGAAATCAATGTTACATTAGCAGGAAAATCATTTAGACATAATTTTGCCCAAGACTTTTGTGC